AATGAGTTTCAGATTCCTTCCGATCTGGGTCAAATTCTGGGTAAAATTCATGAAGGAGAAGGATTTTCTAATTTTACAGCTGATCAGTGACGAATATTTTTCACTGTATATACCACTGTTTCGCTTTAGGAATATCTTCTGATTGTAGATAGAAAGATTCTTACACAATTCGTAAGGATTTGTATAATTTTAGTAAGCCAGATTGTAGAATCAGATCTATTACATGAAGCACATCGAAGACTAATTGAGATGATAAAGTTAATTGAAAATAATCACAGGCGTAACAAAATCACGCCAAATTTTCACCTTTTTCTTCATTTGTATGATTGCTCAAGAGACTATAGTCTGTTATATACATTTTAGTATTTTTCTTTTGAACACATGAATGGAATATTAGGTATTTTTTTTTTGAGAATTTCTTGAATAAATCGGCTTACTAATTTATGAACGATTTTTAGGTTCTTTACTGAATAGCAATAGAAAAATTGAACCTGAGCTAATGCTTCAATTGATATTTGATATTCAAATCGACAGTATTACAAGTTCCAGTGGTATTGAGATAAAAGGGCTTGAATTGCTAGACAATCAGCCTTCAATTGGTTTTCTTTCAAATATAAACGAATTTTCTTCTAACGAAATCCATTGATTTTAAATAAATTCACGAAATATTAAGGAATTAAATATTACTGGTAGTGAACCATTTCCTAGTGAATTCCTTAAACCATCATCCGATAGTATAATTATTTCAAGCGAAATGCTTGATTTGATGGTTGAATACTACAATACCACTTATATTACGTTTGATTTTAGGAAACTATTTGATAAGGATTTGGAAGATGGTATAATGATTCAGGTCAAAATGAATCAATTCGAAAGGTATCAAATTGGTTCTGAAATCTTCAGATTGTCAATGTCTTTGTGACATGTAAAAAATTTGTACATTCTGGTCAAATTTATTACAAATGATGGTACAGTTGATTGTTATTCTGGCTAAGTCCAATATTATTTTACACATAAGGTCAATTTGCTATCCGAAAAGGCTGAACATTTTCTAGCATTTGTTCATTGGTATAAACTTGCAAGTTCTCCAAATATGCAGTATTATTTTAGCAAAGAAGAAACTTGTAATATCGAGTTATAGGATACTAAATTTTATCTGGAAAGTCGTGATTGTATAATACTAGTTCATCATATTTTAGGTCAATTGCACTGATTAACTATCAAATTTCAGTCTGACAAAATGCAAAAGAATATTTGGCTGTTAATCCAATTAATAGAAAATACCATTTGTAAAAATAAATTGGATGTTTTTAGCATTATTTGGTTGTTAATCCTAAATATCAGTTATATTTCCATCCAAATTTTATTTTATTTTGAAATCTATTTTTGATGTATATCAATTGGATGTAAATCGGACGTCAACCAGCTATAAATAAGATAGGTCAAATTTCAGCTGATTCTTAGCTGATTTCTAGTGTATACCAATCGGCTAGGCCGATTTTTTGATAATTTGCTGAATTTAGGCTGAATTTAGGCCGATTTTCGCATGTCCAATTTTTTTGATTTAGATCAGTAATTTTATTTATTATTAATTTTAATAGAATCCTGTATTTGCTTTAGATTAATATGTGATTAAGAAATAAAATAAAGATTTTTGTAATAATTTATTTTTAAGTTAGCAAAATTGAATCAAAGTTTTTTTTAAAGATTTAATAGAGTTATTAAAACAATATATGATTTGAATATAAATTATAGATTAGATTTAGCTAAAAAATATCTTCATAAATTTGTTACTTATAAAGATATTGAAAAGAAAAAAACATTATTATTATTAATGAAAGTCAATCTATTCTTTTAAAATATGATGATAAAATTATTAGAGGAGTTATTCGTAATATTGTAAAAATAATATTGCAAATCATTTTGTGCTTAAAATAAACTTACTTGTAATGTATATCCTAAATTTAATAGTAAATAAAAAACACATGCTGATTCAGGAAAATTAATTGGTCATGGTCTTTATGCAAATTTTTTAGATCCATTAACTACTGATTCATATGTATATAAAAATAAAAATCTTGATCTAGAGATACAAAGGATATATGTTAAAGATGGCGATAATTTTAGAGAATAGTTATATAAAAATGCTAAAGATCATGTACTATAGTCAGTATTATTATATGAGATATTTAAGCAAAAAGTAAATTAAAATAATGAACAGAAAATAGATGTAATATTTTATGTAGAAAACTATAAAGCTGCAGAATATCAGGATAAGGATAGATTAGAATTTGCAATAGGATTTATTTATGAAATTAGTGTAGTTAAAGAAGGGTATTTTATTTATTCTGAATATAGTGTTACTATTAAAATGACATCAAATTCAATATGGTATTGGTTAATGCAAGCTGTACATAATACAGCTAAACTTAATTTAAGTGAAGATGGTATTCATATATTAGTGCAATTACTTTAACTGAAAAAACTGCTAAAGTTATAGAAAAAGAAGTGAGTATTACAAAAAATTAAATTTTTTAATTAATTTTTACTGGTTAAAATAGTCTAAATCAGCTAAAAATCAGATAGCTGATTTTAGGCTGATTTTGATATTATTTATAGATGATTTTTCATGTTTTCTGATCAGTACAAACAGGTGCTGATAGATACCAATCAACTTCAATCGAATATAGATATTCAATATCAATTTAGAACTTAAATTTAATCATAAATCAGCCTAAAATTAGCTTTATTTTAACAATAATTCAGACGTTAATAAACACTAATCAGATATAGCCATTTAGAACTTAAATTCTACCCTAAATTAGCCTAAAATTAATCTTAATTCAGCATTATTCAGTATTAATTCAGAACTTAAATAACATAATTGGCCTAAAATTGACCTCAATACATCATCATTCAGCATCAATTCGAAACTTAAATAATCATAAATCAGCTTAAATTGATCTCAATTCAGCATAATTCAGCATCAATTCAGAATTTAAATAACCATAAATCAGCCTAAAATTGGCTTCAATTTGGTATTAATTTAGTCAAATAAGCATATAAAATAGATATATTATATATATTAAATTTATTAAATATTATAATTTATTAATAATAAAAACCTAATATAATTTGCAAAAATATAACATAAATATTACTAAAACCTACTGATTAATTTTTTATTTAAAAAATATAAGTAAAAAACAGAAAAACTATGTAAAATTATAAAAATATAATCTGTTTTCCTTCTAAAATCTCCTTAAATCGTTTTAAATATTCATTATAATAATATTATTATTTTTAAAAAAAAAGAATAAAAAATCAGAAAAATCACAAAAATTCAACTTAAGTTTCATTTGATTTTGATGGTTAGAAGTATGTTTTTATTATAAAAAGTAAAAAAAATCAGTTTATTTTTGAAAAGTTGATTAAAATACAGCTTTTTCTTCATCAGATTTTGATAGTTAAAGGTGAAAGTTGACTAAAATTCAATTTAAGGTTTTTTTATTCTTGGAAAGATTTTTTTTCAGGATTTTAGTGGAATGTAAAAAGAGAAAATTTAGAAATGATTGAAATTATTTTTTAAAAAGTTAAAAAATCAAGCTTATTTATATAAATATTCCTATATACCAGAAATAAACTCAAATAGTATATTAAATTAATATTATTTTAGCAAATCAGTTTAATCTAAAGTTTGGTTTGTTAAAATTATAAAACTATCATTTCTAAGAGATGATAAAACCATTATTCCTAAGGAATAATAATACCATCATTCCTTAGGTATGATAAAATCATCATACCTAAGAAATAATAATACTATTGTTTCTAAGAAATGATAAAATATTATCGATAAAACTATTGTTTCTAAGGAATGATAATATTATCATATCTTAAGAATAATAATATTGTTTCTTAAGTATGATAAAACTATTGTATCTTAAAAATGATAACATCATTCCTTAGATATAATAAAATTATCATTTTTTAGGTATAATAAACTATCATTTCTTAGGTATGATAATATTATAGTCTCTAAAGAATGATAAAACCATCATCTCTAAGAAATGATAAAATAATCGTCTTTAAGAAATGATAAATGTATTGTATCTAAGGAATGATAATACTATTGTACCTTAGGAATGATAAAACAATCATTTCTTAGAAATAATAAAACAATCATTTCTTAGAAATGATAAAAATCATCATTTCTTAGATACAATAATCTATCGTCTCTAAGGAATAATAAAACTATTATTCCTAAAGAATGATAATACATATTATACCTAAGAAATAATATAATCGTTCTAATCAGATGTTAATTAGTTATAAATAAGATAGGTCAAATTTTGATATATACCAATCGGCTATAAGTTATCCAATTGGCTATAAATAAGATAGGTCAAATTTTAGCTGATTCTTAGCCGATTTCTGATATATGCAAATCGGCTAGGCAGATTTTTGATAATTTGCCAAATTTAGGCTGATTTTAGACTAATTTTAGGCCAATTTTAGGCCAATTTTTACATGTCTGATTTTTTTGATTTTGATTAGTAAATAATAATATATATTTTATAAGACTATCCATTTTATATAATAAAAATAATTTTAATTAAAAAATTTATATAAATAATATAATAAATATATTATTTTTACTTATTATACAGTCAACTTTTAATATAGCAAACTCTTGATATACATTTTTTGAATAAATATAATAAAAATACTCTTGTTATAGTAAATTGGCCAATTAAATTTCTTAAAATTTTCACAATAGCCTTATAGTAAAGTAGAGGTTTAGGACATAGAGATTGATATAACAAGAGTTAATGTATATATATATAAAAAATACTTTTGTATTTTTAATTATTTTTGTAACATTCTAAGTTTAAGAATAAATTTATATAATGCTATATGATTTACAAGTATTGCTTATAAGCATTATTTAGAATTTATAATCCTTTAATTCTTATTTTTTTCAGATTTACAATATCAATTTTCTATGGTGATCCTACAACTTCAGTAATTAACCATTCTTTTTCAAATTGAAAAGTTATTGCATCTGCTAAATTTTGTTAAAAAAATTCGAACCCTTTTATAAATACAACAGGAATTTTCTTTGTTTAAATTTACAGTAAACAAATTCAAGATTACAATCTTTGCTACATTATTAATTCTTTATAAATTATAACTACAAGCAATAGAATTCATCTGAAAAATATAAAGCTTTAGCTTAGAGATTAGAACTGGTTAAATCAGTTAACATGTTAACCGGTTAAAGATTTTTTTTAACTGGTTAAAATAGATGAATTTAAATCCAGCCAAAATTCAATTTCTGGTCAAAATTAAGATTTTTATGATTGCAAAATATTATTTAACTCTAAACTAGAGGTCTGAATCGTTCAATCTGTAGTCAAATTATCTAGATATGACTAACTAATTATGATGATTGATTAGACAAAAATTTTGACTGATTATTTGGTCATTTAATCGATTATCACCAACTATGAATGGAAATATTTTGAATCCATTGTTTAATAAGTGTGCAACATATAAATTAATTAAAGACATTTAACTTCAAATTTTTTTTTCATATTTTTTCATTCAAATTTTGTTTTACAAAACAAAATGAGTTTGATGCAACTTACAATGATGATGTTTTTTAGAACAAGAAGTAATTCTGAAAGATTCATTTGACAATAGAGATTGGAACCAGTTAAAGCAGTTAATATGTTAACCGGTTAATGATTTTTTTTTACCAGTTAAAATAGATGAATTTAGCTCTGGCCAAAATTCAATTTCTGGTTAGAATTAAGATTTTATGATTGCAAAATATTATCTAATTCCAGCCAAATTTATAGGACTGGTTAACGAATATTTTTAACTGGTTATTAACCGGTTAAAGAATTTGGCCAGTTTCAATCTCTATTTAATGAAATTATAATCTGATTATAGTGATTAGCAAAAAATAATAGTTGGAATAAAATATAATTTGTTATTATTGTTGATAATAAAGATAAGTTCGAAATATATTTTATTGTTTTAATTAATGTATTGACGATTTAGTTCTTTCAACTAATTGGTTATTCAGATGATCTGAATAATTTGAATAATCGTTATTAATCAACGATTAATTTGAATATAATCAATTATAAATTTTATGAATGATTGATTAATCAAATACTAAATTTTTGACTGATTCGGACCTCTACTTTGGACAAATTTATAGTATTGGCTAAAAGTTAAATTTAACTGGTTAATTAACTGGTTAACAAATACTTTAACTGGTTATTAACTGGTTAAAAAATTTTTGGCCGGTTCTATCCTCTATTTTAGTTACTTTCTGAAGTGGAAGTGATTAAATCTTTACACAAAAATATCAATAGGCTACTTTGATATTTAATAAGCTCGTAATAAATGCATTAGTATTGGCAATTTAATATAGTCAATTGTTAAAATTTTTTCTTTATCAAAAATTATATAACGTTTAAAAAAAGTTAGTTTTGCCAGTTGTTGATCATTGAAATACACAAAAAATTACCAGTGGCTTAGAAATTTGGATTAACGTTACATGATTTACTGCATGCATTTTTTTTTGCTTTCTTCTAAGAATTTTATTTTGTTTTCGATATACAAATTTAATAAATCAAAATGCAAACTTCCAACAATTCGAATGAGTGGGTTAATTGGATTGAAGAATCTATCTCACACCAGTGCTGTCATTACTGGACAATGGACAATGAATAACACTGGACAAAAAATGCTGTCCATAGTCATTGATTAAGTAATGAATATATGATAAAGTATCCATTGTTATCCATTGAGATTACTTATATTTATTAATATACAATTAATAAAAAAAAAATCAAATATATTTAAAATTTACTATTATTTTATTTATTTCAATTTTTATCAAAAAAAATTATATATCATACAATTCTTTAAAACGAAATATCTAAATTAGAAGCAAACAAATCTTTTGTGATACAGATTTTTTATTTAGAATTTCAAGATCATCATCAAAAGGTTACCTTCGCCAACAAATAAATTTAATATTAATTAAATAAAATTTAAAATTACTAATAAATTGCCATTTCGTAGTTGTTGTAATATAAAATTTTGATAATTCTATTAACTTCATTATGTTCATATTTAGTTAAAAAGTTTTGACAAGTTTGAAGATGTTTATAACAATAATGTTAAGTATTTGTAAATTTATTATTTTATCTTTTAATAAGAAATCTTATACTATATAAGATAAACAAAGAGTCTTATTATTATTTTTATTTGCTATCTCATTATGAAGTACTTCAAACCATGAAGTTAATGGATGTGGCGCTTTTCCTCTATATGTGTTATTATATTCAGAAAGAGTTTTTATTAAAACATGCAATTTGGATCTTTTTATATTTTAAATTTTTCCATTTAAGTTTAATCATAATTTTTATTACATCACATCATCATAATAAACACAATGGACAACACAATGGATGCAATGGAAAAGTGTCCATTATCTATTATTATACCTATGGATATGTCCATTGCCAACACTGATCTTACGAAAACTTATTAAATACTACGAATACAGTCATTTTAAAAATTTGGAAGAAATTGGTCTATCGTGCAAATTGGAAAAGATCAAAGCAATATCTCACGTTAAAATCACTTCATAACTTTAATAATTCCACTTTGTAGAACTTATTCGTGAGGTAAGCATAAAATGTAATATATATTTTCATTTGTTTATTAAAAAATCATTTATGTAATTTAGCTTAAACTTCAACGTGAAGATGATTTTCATGATAATATTATTAGCTTTTGTGGGATAACTTCTAATCAAGGTAAATCTTCATAAGTTTATGTATCGAATTTTTGTATGTATATTCTTTTAAACTAATTTATATATATATTTTTTTTTTAAAAAAAAAAAAGAAAATCAATTAAAAAAAGTATTGGTTAACGCTAATGGTGGTATACTTAAAAACTATTTGAAGGACAATTTTAATAAACTTAGAAAGATAAATGCAACTTTAGACTTGTGCTGTGTCGTATTTATATGAAGAAGGAATTATGCATTGTATTTTGGTAATCTTGCATAAAATATATATATATATATTTGTTTATTACTGCTGTTGATAATTATTAATAATAAGTATATATCTATAATAGCATTCTGGCAATATATTAATTTGTCAAGGTATGCTGATTTTGGATTATCAAAAAGAATTGAGTCATCAACCAATCAGTCAAAAATTATTATGGTAATTCCTTATATTGATCAGAAATGTTTTAACAGACTAACTAGTGACAATACATTGCTAAAATATAAACTAAATAAAAAGAGTATTGTATACAGTATTGGAGTACTCTTATGGGAGATATTAAGTGGTTGTCCTCTTTTTATATTAAAGATGAAGAATATGACATTGGTTTAGCTATAGCAATTTCACAAGGACTTAGAGAAAAGGTCATTCCTGATCCACCTGAAGATTATGTTATCATTTATATTGGTAAATATATTATCATAAATAATTTTTAGTAGATTCATGACCATAATATTTTTTATGTTTTTAGAATGCTAAGATAATAAGCTAGATAATCGTTCACCAATAAATCAAATGGTTAATAAACTAAATATAATCATTTCAAAAACAAAGATGAATCTTCAATCACTAGAACCACAACTTTATTCTAAAATTAACGATTTAACACATGGAGAATTATCTTGAATTATCAAAACTTTGGTCAGGAAAATTATCAAATAAATAGTATGAATCATTATCAGACACCAGCAAATTTATAATGATGATGATGCTGCTTCTTGTAATAATAATACATTATCTAAATTTATTCAAATTTTGATCAGTTGCATGTTAAAGAATTAAAAGCAAATAATGAATCAGATATTATTTATGATACTATCGAATGTTTAACGATTATGGAATTAAATAAGGATGACATAATAAACAAAGATATCGCAAATTAACTACACTCTTTTGCTATGATATAAAATTTTATTGCTCTAATACTCAAATAACTAGCTTACAAGCTTTACCCAACTTCTTAACTAAACTTGAATGTAATTATACTCAAACATTACTCAATTCCTTAATCGTTTTAGTACTAAAATAAATAGCCTTACCAAATTTACCCTATTTCTTAACAGAACTTTATTACTCTGATACTTCAATAACTAACCTAACAACTTTACCCAATTCTTTAATGATACTTCATTGCTATAATACTAAATTGACTATCCTACCAACTTTACCAAATTGCTTAACGGAACTTTATTGTTATAATACTCAAATAAATAGCTTACCAAATTTACCCTATTACTTAACGAGTATCAAATTTAAGCCTTAAAAACTATTGTACTTTTATACTACTACATAACTATTTTTAAAAGGTCAAGTTTCTTTTGAAGAGTATGATAAGCTTTCACATAATTTAAACTCAGAATGATTATCCTATGTATCGAAAATAGTAACCATACTTATCCCCTGATCGACACCACTTATATGCATTTATTTGAAAAATTTTGGCACTATGATTAATATTTTCTTCTAGCTTTGCATTATTATCTTCTTATTCCAAATTTTATTTATTATACATCAAAAGATATTTCAAAGTTACAAAAAGGTTTTGCAATTTTTAATATTTATAATTGTAAGATTAAATAAATAAAAAAATTATTATAAAATTTTGCTAAACAAATCTGTGGTTATATTGATCCTGAGAAATTAATACTTCTTCATTTAACTTTCGTATTGTCATCAAAGAATATTTACAACTCTTCCTGTAATAATACAAATTCTTAAAATTTCAGATAGTATATCCAAAATATAAACATAATTTACAAAGTCTTTTAAATAAGAACATGATTTTAACTTTGCTATAGTTACATATTTTTTGGTCTTTAAAAAAGGGCATTCATATGATTCCTTTGAAATAAAAAGTTTGGAAATTATTATTTAAGTAAAGAAGAATACCAACAAGAAAGGGAAAAGGGTCAAAGGTATATTTCTTTAATTCATAAAATATGTTTCTTAATCCATTTTCTATATTTATTCGTGTAAATGACAGGTGATATATCATTTATCTCTGTAAAGGTTAGAATCAGTTTTCTTTTCACAAACTGGTTTTAACCACTTTTTTAATTTGAGATCCAGATTTAAACTGAATTTAATAAAATCGAACATTCGGTTGTAATAAACCCAAAAAACTGAATTGTGATAAGATTTAATATAAAAACAAAATATTTTTTTCCTTGATTTTTATTTATTTTTATTAAAATTAATCTAATTGCATGTTTAAAAATGATAGATAAAAATTAAATATAAAACTAGATTCACTAAATCCAAAGATAATTGAGGGTTTTGCTGAAATATTTATAATTACTTGTGTTGAAACAATGTTTAGCTAAATACAGAAGATGCAGAAATGGATAGATTTTTTTGCATGTTAAGATAAAATATAAAGGCTGCTTTTGTTTACATTCTACCACTTTAAAGGATGTAATATCAATTTATTGAAGTTTTATCTATTCCAATAAAAAAAATCACTGGGATCACAAATATATTATATAACGAAAGTCATATAAAAATTTTTTTAAAAAATTTAATCTTTGATCGCACATGATTCGCAACATTTATTTTTTAAATAAAATATCTAATATATAAATCATAATACTGGTCAAATTAATAAGATAAATTAAACGGTTATATATTTAATCAGTAAACTTTCAGTTTCATTATATTTGAATATTTGCAATGAACCGGTTTTATTAAACCCAGTTTTGAATCCAAAAAAACCAGACCTAGTTTTATATTGTAACCGGTTTAAACTGAATTTAAATCAAATTATACCAAAATGGTTCTAACCTCTAAACTCCTGACTAATTAGGAAGGGGCTGGTACAATACGATTCGCTTGATCAATATGGTATGATGTTGCTTTTTGCGAAATTTGAATCGTACCGTACTGTACCGGTAGTATACGGTCAGTACGATTTTAGAATTTTAAAAATTTATATTTCTAAGACATTGAAAAATTTTTAATTCAACGTATGTTTGTCAATATGAATTTAATAAAATTAAATTAAAAAGAAAAGAAATGTTATATTACAAAGTAATAATTTATTTTAATATTATTATTATTATTATTTTATTGAAATCAAAAGATAATCAATAATCAATTTTTTATAATAATTCACCGTCATATCAACGCAAGTCTCGTGAATAATACGAAAGAAACGTACTATACTGATTTTCCATATACTCTTAGTTTCACTTATTCCTAATTAGCCGGAAGATAAGTAATACTTAAATTCATTAATCTTTACAATACAAAATACAATGTGAAGGTTATTTCTTTAAGAATAAATGCTTTCTTTCTTTTATTTATAAAATAAAATAAAAATAAAATTTTGTAGCACGTGACGTCTAACCCGAAGAATTTTCTAAAAAATAAAAATAAAAATAAAAATCTTAATGAAGAAATGATGCTGAAAAAAAATCGCTAAGAAAGAGAAAATTTGAATTAAAAAAAACAGAGGTTACTGTAATTTAACATTAATATAATAAATAAATATCAGAATCGACCCTTTGTCAAAATCTAAAGAAACTAACAAAAAAAAATGTAAAAAAAATGTAAGTAAAAAACAATCAAATCATCGAAATAAATTACCTAATACTCGCAGAAGTTAGCCAGTTGTCAACATATTCGTCTGCCGTGGTCCTAAAGTGATTGCATTTTTATTATTCTAACAGCTAATATAAAATAGCAAGATAATAAAAGAACAATTATTTTAATTAGTTTTAGGTTAGAGAAAAGCAAAAAGCATATATAAAATCTGCCAACTTTTTTAGCACCAAGAATGAATTTGATTGTTCATTCAAACACCGTAAAAATGTAAGAAATTTTTGATTTTCTCTAGAATTTTAAACTATCTAATTAAAGGTTAAGCAAGCTTTTTAAATAATTGATCATAAACAAATTTAGTTAATTTTACAAAATAACTACCTTTACAGCAGCTAAACTTCATATCCAAGAAATAGTTATACATAATCCCGAAATCTGCGATTGAAGGTGGTAGGTATTTCGTTAATAATGATTATAAAAATGCCAGGATTATAAATATAGGAGAATTTGTATTACACAGGCTTTCCTAAATAACCGCTGGTGATAATCACGATTTACCCTGCGTAACCACAAAAAAAAACCAGCATGTGACCATTTTCATCGATCATTTCTAAAATAGATGATCAATTTTTATTGAAAAATTTTTTTGATTTTGTTTTTTAAGCAACAGCAAAAGTTAAAAATGATATTTAAATCCTAATATTCATATCCGCATCCTTGGAATTTGACCTAAACTATGTGTTTTATAAAATAATCAAATCAAAACAGTTCTACATAATTATTTGTCAAAAGATAAAAAAACACCAACTCAAATTCGAAAAAAAAACATAATATTAAATACCATCAAACCCATCTAACTTTCGGGTTAGGGTAAACTAAAATTTAACAGTAGTAAATAAATATAAATTAAAGCCTTTTTGACATATATCAAAAATATTATTATTACTAAGTTCAAGAACAGGATTACAAAAATTTTACTAAAGTTATTCTTTTGTATTAAATACCGTAGTTTATCGTAAGTATGATCGGCAGAATCGATCACGTGTCGCCGGTTATTTTATACTGCGGCAAATCACGTTGAAACAATTTGTCCTAAAACTATCGATGTGGCGTCTTGCATATAGCTAACCAAATTTATACCTATTCCTTTCTTTTTGGCCATAGCTAACTATATAAAAGTGGAATCATCAGACACAACTATATGGTATATATAGTGTTAAATACATTGTAAATCTTAAAATTGATCGACAAGGCGCAGTTTTCAGTAATTCGAAAATTGCGATAATAGCGCCATGATAAAATAAATTTATTTTTGTGATGCATGTTGTGGCTTGTTGGCCGGTAATGTAAGAGATAATAATGCTGTTTATCACTATTAGTGCGTTTGCCAATATAAATTTAAGGTCATGTACATAAAAATATAAAATATAATAATAAATAACCATATTTAATGAATATTAACTAATTACTTGACAAAAAATACAATTATACTTGCAACTTCAACTATCCCAGTTATCGTAAACACTTTCACCCCACGTGATTTGTTGTTCCGCCCGTAATAATTAATCTGCCCGAATTACCAATTCGAAATCAAAAAATTTAGTAAATTTATAAATTTTTTTAATTTATTTTGTCTGAATTTGCTAAATTTTAAAGATTATAATATTCAATAAAAAAAAACACGAAAAATAAAAAATTCGAAAATTTAAACTTAATTAAGAATGTGTAGATTTTTCTCCTCATTTAATGTTAAAAACTGATGATGTTTAATTATAACCATAACCGCGCTTGAATTTCAATAAAATTTGTTTAAAAAAACTTTATTGCATTTTATCGATCTCTCTGCCTTAGTTATTCACTTTAACAGTATTCAAAGTTTTATTAGCTCGTTAACAACAAATATGTCGAACGAACGTACTTCGACTACAATTACCGCATCTATGAGTTTGGCAAAGGCCTTTATAATGTAATTAAGAAAATCATACACTAAAATATTATTATTTATTGTTGATAAGAGAATTTAAAGAGAGGTTGAAATTAGAAGTGTTGGTTTGAGAAGTTCAAAGATTTAATAAAATAACTTTTAATCATTTGAAATAAACAGAAACAAATTATTTAATTGTCGTCGATTTCAATTACAATATTTTGTATTTCTACCACATTTTTTGACTTGTTTCGTTCGCCAACCTCACCAAAATTTTTATCTAGATTTAAAAGGATTCTAATTTCATCTTTAAATTTAGTAAATAAAACCTCACACTCAGCTTTTGACATTGGACCCTCTATAATTTCCTTCATCTTGGCCAGCCCTCTTAATTTGTCAGAAATTTTTGTTGAATGATACGATACTGGATTGTTATCTATTTCCATAATCTTTTGTTGAACCTCTCCAATCGACATCTGATAGAATCTATAAAATAAAATAAAATAAATATGGTGAGCGTCCCATTATTTGTGCACGTGGAATCAATAATTCCAAATAATTTACATCATATCCGGAAACCAATGTCGCCACCTTCGTTGATTTGGAAGCAAGAGGAAAAGCTCAATCTCAGCCACAATTTTTGCCTTTTGAAGTATGAACAGGAAATGTGTTCTATTTCCTTCAATTTCCAAGTTAAGCAACCCAATAAATAATTCATGAGATAAACCACAATCAAGAATGAAAACATAACTAGCAGTAACGTCATGAATGGATTTTCCTGATAATTCCATGGGTTAAGTGCTGATGTATCTCCCGTTAAAAACAAATACATGGCCAAGAGTGAGGTTGAATAGGTGGAAAATAGATTTAATTTTGAATCGGGACTTTGAATAAAGGTTATTTCGGGGTTGATCTCTTTATTTGGAGAAACTGATTGATATTCCGTAACGAGATTCCAAGGATTATTCGGATCACCATCTTTATCAGGTACATCCAACTTATAATTATGATTTGGTGTCAAAATAATAAAAAAAGCATGTGCAAAGCCAATAATGATAATAAGTAAGATCAACAAGAAGGAAAGTATCCTCTTGGCCACACCAACGATGATAGTTAAATTGGAGCCAAAGTAATCAAGGACTCGCAGGAATGTTATAAATTTAAAGTATAAGAATAGATTTGATATGGAAATCAACGCCGGGGAAGGTTTTCATGATCAGTTAACCAAAAGAAAGCGGTGCATATTGGGAATATAATTGCAGCAAGATCTATAATAAAATAAAACAAATATATGTATACACATTTTTTTTTTTATAAATCCCATCAAAAATTATACATACCGAATAAATTCCATATGTCTTTCACATATCTACTCGGTTTCCAGATAAATTGTCTAATTTCGTGAGTAAGATAAAAGAAACCAACGGTAATGCTCGTATATAAAATAATATGTCTCGTCTCACTTGAAATACTAGTTGAAGATAATGTTGAACCTATTCCGAAAGAGAACATAAACAAATTAAATGATCCCCAAAAAAGATAAAAATAAAACCATCCATAGGCATTCCATTTGAAATTAAGTAATGCCTCAGCATTCCATCCATCATAGATGGTTTCGTCAACCAAAGTAACAAACGGGTTGTCACTTGGTCTTAGCAATTCCTTCCAGAAATTGTAATCAGATGGATACTTTGTAAAGCCCAAGTAAGGAACGACAAATCTAACGACCCTTCTTCTTGGTTTATCTTTCTTACTAATATATTGGATAAATTTTACAATGACTCGACTGATTAGCAAAATTCGTTGAATGAAATAACTTTCTATACGATTATATACTTGTAGAGTATGAGCTTGATACGTATAACCAACCAGTTCCAATTTGCTGGATAAATAAGATTCATTGATATATGGTGTTGGAATTAACGTGGTATCAGCAATGAAATTTGAGTAATAAGTGGGTATATGTAAATATAATTTTGGCAGATATTTTGTGATAAGATCACAAAATCTATAATCCTTTTTAGGATCCATATTTTCTTCAGTCGCTTTATATATCTTGTCAAGGCAAGCAATTAGCTTTGCCATTTTTTTCCGACCACATTTTTTCCGATTAATGGAACGATTGATGATGTCATCGCTCATTTCTACGAGATACTTTCTTGAACTTAGAAGTTCATTAATCAAGTCTAATATGCTCTGTAACGATAAATATTGTTTTAACCCCTTCAAGATTGGGTTTGGAAGGGTTTTACTCGCAATAAAGTCATCAGTATTAGGATAGTAATATCTAGGAACAATCCTATTGGCTTTTTCATCAAAGCCTAAAATATAAATGCCACAACAATATAATGCTACATCATCATTACTTAAAATTTGAAGATGTGGGAATTGAATATGTTTGAATTGAATATCGCTAATAAATTTAAAATTATTTTTCTCATTACTTTGCGTTTGATCTTTCTTATAAACTTCCAATTTGGAATTCCGGAATTCCCATTTCAAATTATTCCTTACACAACTGGACTCTTTAACCAACTTACTGATACCATCTTTGAAGATATTGAAATTAAGATAAATAAATAGGTTGTGATCATGCTTCATCTGATCATATAACTTTTCCACAGGAATTATAAATTCGATCAATTCGATTTGATTCCGGGTAGCAATCATAAGTAGTAATTGTGATTCTGTTGAAGTTTCTACAATCATGTAATACTGAATGGATTTTTGAATACGATGTTCATCCTTAACCGTGTATGAGAGTTCATAAGGTGACATGATCGTATATTTAATTTTGTCCTCAACTCTTTTATGCAACATCAAAATGTCGGTATTATTGATGTTAATAAATTGTATTCTTTGACCTTTCTCGTACAGATCTTTTCCTATATAAAATTCCGTTAATAAATTCATTAAGAAAAAATAAATAAACTTGATAGCTTAAAATTTGCTCACTTGATGATATTAATATTCCATTCTTCATTGAGAATACATATATATGAATTTCTTCTTTGTACGTTGAACATATTGCTAATAAACTTCCTTCCTCATTTATCGTCCCCATCCAACCACAATTCGTTGGATCATTGAGCTGTTCTTTTTTAATGTTTGGAATGATGTAGTGATTTTCAATTTTCATTTTTTCGGTGTTTAATAAAAGTATGACGCCGTCAAGGGCAAGAAAAATTTGTTCAATTTTTTTTTCAATACGACTAACGTTGATCATTTCTATACCGAGTTGACCAATGGTTGGGATTCTATATGAACAAGAAGATTTTTTTGAATTTTTTAATGAAGCTTTTGAATATACATTTATACTTGGTGTCAATGGTAACGATTCCAATAAAAAAAAAGAAACCGCCTTTTATCATTAAGTAGCCAATTCAATAAATGCTCTCCATTTAAGAGATTCCGTGTATGTATTTTTTCGTCTTGTGAATCCTCTTGTAACAGCGGTATCGATAGCAATAAAAGGTCATCATTTGGGAGAAACCGTAGATGTTTTTTTTCGACAAATAAACTCTTTTTTTTGTTATTTTCGTCAGATAATGGTTTGGTAATCGGACTAAATTTGGAAGCTTCCAAATCCCGGAGATATGGATTATCATCACAAAAATAAATCAATAATTTATCGTTTGATAATTCTAGTAACTTTTTTGATTTGTGCAAAAGGACTTGTTCGTTCTTGTCTATTACGCATCTTTTGGTTGTTTTATCATTGAAATCAACGTTCCACAAAATCAATGAATGATCTTCATGACTTGTAACGAAATGTTTCATATTCGTTGAAATAACGAAAGATTTAATTGTTGCAATTTCGGCATCATCTGGATTAATATCATTAGACATAATGTATTTTCAGAATTGAAAATTAATTCAACGAACATTTATATATATACGCCAGCAGATTACACAAAGATTTAATTTATAATATAATCACATAAAAGTTTATTGAAGTTCCTATATCCGTTTAGACTTACGGATTGGATAGTGGCACAGGTACTGTAAATCTCGAGTCCCGTAACTTTTGTGAAATTATTGACAAGCCTCAATAATTATTTTTTTTTTTTTCTTTGTTCTTTTTATATGCCCAACAAAAAACCTTGTACAGCAGAAAATATTAATCATAGTAAATCGTGTGATCTGGCATAAATCTAGGGAACCTTATACTGTATGGTAAGAAATTATAATTCCTAAAATTAATGCTATCGTTATATATTGATATAATTTTTAAACAAATAAATTTTTGGACTAATTTTTGTTGTCCGAAGCATGAGGACAATCAAATACTACGACAAAAAATGTAATGTCGTTCTGTCAACCAATAGAATTCTGCGTTGCTGGTCATGTGTGTTACAACAAAATTGAACATTACTGTATTAAAGAATTGAATTTTTATCATAAGTCCTGTTATGCTTCGGATTAGGACGGTTACAGTTCAATAGTATTAAAAAAATTTAATATTTGCTCAATACTAATGCGCAGTACAATTATTTCTTTTATCAGGTTGGATTGCATTCGGAAGTAATTTATTTTCTTTTCTTTTTTTCTATTATTATTATTTTTTTTTTGCTATGTCGATCCCTCCCTTTTACGATTTGTTTTAAATTATTTAAACTTTTTTATTTTTATTAATTTTTTTTTTTTAAGGTTCAAACTGCAACATTGGTTGGATAATAGGCACTTTATTCTTAGGTTCTTCAGGTTATCATCTGAAAATTAACACGTGATCACCCTACGTTAAATTTTTATCAATATTGAAAATGGTAGTTTCTAAAAAATTTCTATTGTACTATTTTATTTTAATACTAAATTTTCATTGAATCATCCAAAAATTTATGTTAATTTTAACGATAAATAATAGTTTTATTTTGGTTAAAACTTTATTTTATCATACTTGTTTTTTAATTTCCCTTATGAGTTCAGTTGCTTGGATTAAATAACAAGTTTTTTTTTTTCGTTATTGTTGATTTGTAAATTTCTTTTTTATTATATGATTTGATTTTTTTTTAGTTCTCAGGCTAAATCTATCGTGCCAATCTTAATAGGTAGCCCTTTGGTAAAACTTGTTTCAAAATGTTAATGAAATATTATCACAAATATATAATTAGAAACATTAATATGTAAGGAATTATAAATCTTCTCTTAATAATAATTGACATTTATGGAAGGACTAAGGTTGCCGGGCAAAACCCGGAGGTCGAAATCGAAACCCGTCGAAACGTTTTGCCAAATATTTTTATTAAATGCAAAATTGCGAAAGTTTCGAGCAAAAGTTTCGACGGATGGCAAAACCCATCGAAACCTTTTGATATTAAAATACTATTTTTGAATTTAAAAATTTATTATTTTTTTGTTTTACAAGATGAGAAAATCGTATATAGCAAAGATCACTTTTATAATATCATATATTTATATAAGAAAAAAAAATCACATTGAAATTGAATTAATTTATTTTTCATCAAATCCAATTACATCATTTATCTCCCATATTTTCTTCATTAAAACTCATGACAGTACTTATCTTCTTCATCCATTAAACTTTCGTTTGAAAAATCATCATCTAGAGGTTGGAACCGGGTATACGATATGTTTAAAAAAATTTATTTGATCTGCCACAGTTTTTGAAATAGATATTAATCCGGATCCGATTTTTAAAATTAAAGTAAATCCGAAAAAATGAACCCGGTTTCAGCCTCTATTATCATCTTCTTCATAAGTTAATTTTTTAATTCTTTAATGAGTACCAGTGCTTGAAATTTTGATCTACTTTAAAATAAAAAGCAAAAAAAATCGTTTATTCTACATTGTGGTACAATAAATCTATTAAAACCGTCAAATTCGCAAAGTTGGTCGAAACTCGTCGAAAACCATCGAAACCCATCGAAACTGTCGAAATAATTTCTGAAAAGTTTCGTCTTTTGCCAAAATGAGTTTAAGGTTTTGCCCCGCAACTATAGGAAAAGACTGAACATAAAAAGGAAATTCATGAAAACTTATTTTAAAAAGAAAATTAAAAAGGAATTCAAGAATCACTATTTCAGACTTATCTAATTAATAAAAAGAGAAATAAATTCTTCGTAACAATTCAATTTGAACTTGTTTTATATATTAAAAATACAATTAATCGTCGTTATATTTTTCATCTCGAATTCACCATTTGATTCATTTAATACAAGAAGTTGGGATATCCTAATTGGTGTATCAGCAGCATAAAATAAAGGGTGTCGTTCAAATCCGAACGTTCAAAATCCCAAAGTTAAAATCCTGAAAACTATTATCCCAAAAGTCAAAATATCTCGAATTGACATTATCATAATCTTCGTCAAATTTAATCGCTTTGCATGAGAATTCGATAGGTTCTTTAAAAATCCTCAAAAAAAAAAATTATTTTTTTTTAAATTCAATATGAAATGACATACGAGATTTTGTTTTTCGGGATTTTGAACCTTCAGGATTTCGAGCTTCGGGATTTCGTACCAAAATAACATCTTTGGCAGTATAAATTTAAAAATTTATACACTCGCTCATAATTCGATCGTGTAATTTAGGAGGATTTCCATTTGAAAATAGGATATTATTATACTCCTTTGGTTAAGTTCTTGTTCATGACTTTTAGACGAATACCTTAAAAATTAAATTTTTCGAAATTTTGATTCATTAAAAATTTTATTTAAAAAAATAAACTGTGTTTTATCATTGTTACACAAACCCATATTGAAATCGTGTCAAAAGAATTAGATTTAAATTTATTAGCTTTCTCTATTCAGTTTTAACAATTTATTATTATTTGTTGACAATTGTCATAGATACAGATTTAAATAATTAGAATTTCATTTATAAATCAAGCAGAAATGGCCTGGTTTGTTGTATCATTGAAAGTATGCGATTAATGCATAATAAACTTTCCCATCGACAGCAAGCTGTAAACGTCTGGAACTTGTCTTTATAAATATTAGAAAATTCGGCTTTTGAGTAATTTTTTAACTAAAATAAAAAACCTTATTACGTATTTATCTAAAAACTTAAAAAATTCAAATGAAATGAATTAAAACTCAATTGTATTAAAAATTTCTTAGAACTTGATTTTCCTAGCCTTAACCATTAAAATTAATACCTAAATAATAAAAAAAAATACTTTCCTACGCTCATACCTTACGAACAATGTTTCGTTCTTTTATGTAGCGTTGAGAGTCTACTGGGCTCAAAATTTTTCTTCAAAATTAGTAATTTGATGACTTGTATATGATCGATCACATTTCATTATTTCGAGTTAGAGTCAGTTAAGAAATAGAGCAGAAATAGGTGTTAGTGATGAGAAAAAAAAAAGCAAGGGAAGAACCTAAATCGATAATATTACTCACGGTGACATTCTTATTTAAAGAAATGACAAAAAATGAAGATCATTAAAATTAACATTAACTTTGCATTATAAACTTACTCTGCAAAATCTCTTCTCAAATTATTTATTATTTCAATCGAACTATCAAAAGTAGGAGTGAGTTAAACTAAAATTTTATCATCTAAGATGTTACAATGAGATAAAAGCCAGTTGAATTAAGGCAAAGATTAAATAATAGTAATTATTCAAATTATAAAAATTTGAGTAAGCATATCAAGATGAAGGTTTAGATTGGTTGAAGCTTACTCAGTTCAGCGTTTAACCAAAATAGCAAATTATATAAGCAATAACTTTTAAGTTCAAGGTATCATAATTTTCCGCAAGATTAGCAGTATCTAACTTTTTATAAATTATTTCAGTTCTAAATTCCGAAGTGGAAGCGATTAATCTTTACTCGAAAATAAAATAAATTTCTATATTATATAAATTCGAAATAAATGCAAAAGCATTGGTAATTTAAAATAGTTAATTGACAAAATTTTATATTTTTCAACTATATTTATTCATTATAGTTGATGCTCTATAGAATTCCATAAGATAACCTAAAAAAATAAACACGTTAGTAAAAATATTAAAAAAATTTTTATAGTTGTAAGAAAAATTGAATTATACATACTTGTACCAACTTTAGTTAGCAAATAATAAAGTTAAACAAAGGAGTAGTATCGAGCTGGTATTAAAAATCCTTTACTAACATTCAAGGAGGAAAGGAAAAGTTTGAAGACCTTCAAGAAAAATTCGTAAAAAAAAAAAAAATCGACGACTTTATATTGGGTAAATCACTTTCCAAATTTAACGGATGATCTGATCTTCATCTTCATCCGATCCGTCGTATGAATTTTTATCCGATCGCTCAAATTTATCCGACAGATGACGGATATCCGAATTTAAAACGGATAATCAGTTGACGGATTGTAACTCTAATTCATTTGATACAAGAAGTTGGGATATCCTAATTAATGTATCAGCAGCATAAATAACGGGTGCCGTCAAATCCGAAGGTTCAAAATCCCAAAGTTAAAATCCCGAAAACTAAGAGATGAATATAATATAAATAATGTAATTCCTAAGGTTAGAATTAAATAAATACTTTGTAAATTTATTAATATAATATATTAATAAAGTAATAATTTTATTATTAGCTGAGAAAGCTTATTGTAAAAATTCGATCCTCTCCACAACGACGAGAATGATTTTCCCGTCAATGTGATTTAATTCAAAAAAAAAATTTAAATCTTATTTTAGATGTCAAAACAAGATGGAACTCTACATATTTAATGTTACAGCGTGCTCTTATACTTAAAGAAGTAAGTAAATATTTAAATAATAATCAAAAAATTATTTATTTATATTTTATTTATATTTATATAGCCTTTAGATGAAATAATAATTCTTGAACGTGAATTAAGAGATTTTTTTATTTTACCAAATTAATAAATCAATTATG